CAGCTTTCTCCGTACCTGGATCCCTGGATCCCTGGATCGGCGTTGGAGACTCTCCGGACCATTCAGCAGGGGAAATAACGATTTGATTAGCGATATCAAATGGTACCCTCTGGTAATTCAACATAGCTATAGAAAATGGCCATTGAAATAGTGGATTTACCCATTGTTTCAATGGTTAAATTACCAGAGAGGATATCAATGGGAGATGATGGGATATCAATGGGATTTTTTAATGGTAGATAATGAGATATGATGAAAGATGATGGGATATCATAGGATGTAGAAACAACAATATGATATTCATTTTTGTGGGTGTGTCTGAAAATTGTTGGAAAACCCGAAAACCCCAGAGTCTGAAACCTCATTTTCCTGAAGTATGGTACTGTAAAATGTGAGAGTTTTCTTTGTTTTTGGATAAAGCCAAATACAGGGGGACTGCCCAGCACCAGGCTTGTGCTCGAAAGATGATCATCACCAAGGTGGTGGTATATAACTGGTTGGTGGTTTTAACCATCTTGAAAAATATGAAAGTCAATGGGAAGGATTATCCCATATATTATGGAAAATAAAAAATGTTCCAAACCACCATTTTCCCATTTTCTGATGCGGCCAGCAGTAGTATCGACTGCCGCCCGTCTTGGGCAATCACGCTACCATGGATGAAACAAAGAAGGGTGGAAACCTGTCATCGTACACGGCGTATGGCAGAGAATCGATGATGCGAGCTTGCCTTCTGAATGTTGTTTGACACCGGCTATGCATCCATTCATCAACCCAAGCAAGCCGGTCGGCCGGCCAAGGCAACGCGGCGCACCCAGTGTGCATCAACACAACTTTTGAACTTGGTTTTCCGTAGGCATACTCAACCGCAATACCAGCATGCTTCAGTGTTTCTTTCCAACAACGAGCAAACCAGCGAGTGCGCTGGCGAAACGCATAGCCACGCATCTGCAACCCTCGGATGTTCTCTCCATCTTCCCATTTGGTGGTATGGACAGGTCCTGGATGGCCTGTAGCACACATGAAATCCACGTATAGTTGGAAGTGTGAAACCCAAACAAGCTCAGAACTGCTTCCATAAACCACCTGCCAAAACCAGCTTAAAAGGATGCGAACCATGCTGTCTCCGTACCATCTGATGGCTTTGGGCGGGAGGCAAAGTTCAGGCAACTGGCGCCAAACCTTAAGCGGTGGTGGGAGTGAAGTTTCTTGCGGGGGTTGGTCAACAGCAATGGGTTGGTCAAAACGCACAACTGCTTGACTGATCTGAAGCTGCACCCTCTGGACACCCCGGTTAATCTTCGCAATGCCTTCACAAGCCAAAAGGTGCCGCCCATCCAGTTCCCAGAAGTCTGAGTGTCTTGCAAAATTTGCACGCTGGGCCTCACGGTCAGCCAAATCATTATGTCTGAAGCACCATTCATCTAGGAAGTGGCAGGCATGGCCCTCCGGCTGGTGTGCCGATACATGTGTAATGGCCGCGGGGGCCTCTCGATCCACAATGCACTCGGCAATTTCCCTCCAGAGATCAGAGTGCGCTGCATTCGGCTTCACTTGCGCACCATGCAGTATTCGTCGCAGTCTCTTGACCACGATCTCGCTATCACTCCAAATCATGACTGGTTGGCGCTTGCGGCGAACAATTTGCAAAACTCTCAAAACAGCGAAGATTTCAGCTCGCACGGAGCTTTGTAACAGCCCAGGCAGGACTCCTGAGTCAACGATTTCACTGTCTGTGTAGTCATGAACGGCATTGGTTGCAGCATACACAATGGCCCAACTAGCAAACCGTTGCTGGGGGCTCTGCTGGTCATGACAGCTACCATCCGTAAAGAAGTTGAGTGTGCCCCTTCTGTCAAAAGGTGGGGCCTCATGTACCTCAAGGCCAGCAAAATAACTGTCCCATTCCCATTGGGTGGTCGGCGCGAGGGACCATCCAGAGCATGTCAGGGCATCTGGAAGATCGGCAATCATCTCCAAAAGCGTTGCAGGGGTATCATTGCGAGCAAAAGCAAAATGTTCACATACCCAAAAACGGTGAAACCGGCTGTCGCTACAATTGCAGTATGGGCATACATCATCAGAACTTTCTTGACAGTAGTGTTTGCCATCCTGTGTCACATGTGTTCCATTAAGCAGCTTTCGAAATAGGGCCTGGTCAGACCCACACAATGTCGAGAGCCATTGGCGGGTATCCTGAGGATCAATGCGGTCCAATCCCTGAAAACAAGGCCTATGGCGTACCGCAGCATGAACAACAAGTGGCCATTGGAGTGCAACCCGAAACTGTAGTTCAGCACATGAGATGCGAAAGAGTGAGAAAGTGCCCAATACATCAACAATCTGTCCTTGCTGATCAATATGCCATCCTAGGCACTGTATCCTGGTCAACAAAGTATGGGTGATACTATTGCCAGGAAGGTTAGCATACCCAAACACCAAGTTGGCAAGGACTTCTTCGACACGACGCTGGTCCCCACAGTCCCTGGCTAGCCGAAAAGTTTGCAGGATCGTCCAGGCTTGAGGATCAAGCTCCGGGCTCTCTATTAAACCTAAGTGCACCATAGCATTGGCTCCTGCGGCATCGGATTTCAGACCTCTCAACGCCCCTGCACGAAGCATTGTGAATGTGGACTGGCTCACGGTTGTGGCAGCCACAGCATGCAAACATCTTGGCCAGGCTGCGCTTTTTATGGCACGGATCTTTTGGAAGTAAGGACAGGCCGACAGACGCAGCTTCTGCCATAACGGGTGGGCAAGCTTGATGCGCTCCATAAGGCATTTATTGGTGTGTTGCCTAGTGAATTGCACGTGGGCCCCAAGGTTCTTGCTGTAAGCAACAGTGCCGAAGCCCTGTGAACGGAGCTCATTTCTTCCCTCGGCGGACACTGACCAAACATGAGTTTTGCGGTGATCTAGCAAGAGGTCCAAAGCCTCAGTAAACTTGCCTAGACACTGGAACACATCACGCATGCAGCTGGGGTCAGCAACTAACACCTGCCAGTCATCAACATAGGACAACGGCTGGCAAAGAGGGAAAAAGTGAACCATCCATTCGTGAAACAAGATGTCAATGACCATCATACCGAGGCAAGAGAGTGCACATCCCTCGGGCAGGCCGCATGTGCTGTATGCCGGCGGACTCAAGCTACCATTGACCTGAAATCTTCTGGTCATTTCAGACAAAGCTCCTGACCAGCCCCTCAGCACAGCAAAGGGGATACCTATCAAGGCACATCCTTCCATGATGACTGCACGTGGAAGGAAATTGAATGCTTTTTGAATGTCAGCAATGATTCCGCTCAGGGGGGAGGTCTGTTCGTAGGCCATTTCGATGGACCAAAGCAACTGGGACCAGATCTGCCCTGCGTAACGCTGTGGTCGGCTACCAAAAAGGCCTAGAGGCAAGTCTGAGTCTATGGCCCGGATTGCATGTCTGGCATGATGTGTCCCCCAGCACCGATACAAGATACTAAAGATCGTAATCGGGCGGAAATCCAATGCTGTCTGCGGCTCTGCTGTTTTGGCTAAGCAAGAGACACGTCCTGCAGTAATTTGGGAGGGCCATCTGCCTGTGGCTTCAGCCTCTTGATACATGGAAGTGAAGTTGGTCAATGCCGCACGTGGCATCGCTTGCAAATCACGTAGTGACACACCATCCAATCCGCCGGAAGTGGCTCGATTCTTGTGTTGGATACAGGCAGCCAAGGTATCCTCAGCAAGTGAAGGCCATACCAAATTGCGGAAACGTAGTTTACTCCTAGCAAACTGAAGGATCGTGTCCCAACGGTCGGGTGAGACATTTCGGTGTCGATCCCACATCATTTTCCAAGCATCAAGAAACATTGCAAACAGTTCCTCGTCAGAGCCTTTGCATTGGGTCTGGGCAATGGTATCACCGGGGCCAACCTCAGAGACATTCTGGACCCACAGGGCATCAGCTTCAGCATGGATAACCTCTAATTGGGTTCCTTTGCAGTATATGGGCTTAGTTATGTCAAATGAGGCCGGTGGGTCAATAACAACTTCAAGGTGATGGGCATCAACGCGCTCAACCTTGGTTTGGATTGGTTTAACCAGCACATTGACTCCTCTGGTCTGCGGCATTTTGAGGTCTTGGAAAATCAAGTTGGGGTTTGTCTCACGTCTTTGCTGTGCATATGCACGTGAGGCTTTATGCAAGTCTTGTTCGAAATGTCGGAAGGCCAAAACAAATGAATCAAAGATTGCCAAAGCACACTTTTCATTCGGCGGGATCACTGGAATGGTAGGGCAGGTTCCAACGGAAACATGTGGATTATGGGGCCACCATCCCACAAAGGAGGGGGTGAAACCAGTAGCCCTCACAATAGAACCCCAGATTTGTCTCGCCTGATCTGTATGCTCATTCTGGGCCTGCACATGACGCACATAGGCCTGTAAGCGGCGAACTTGCCGCAGCCATTGGGAATGCCTGAATGATGCGCAAACATACTGTGGCCTAATGTCACCAGGTCTCCCCTTTTTGGGTGGGGGAATTTTACCATCAACTTTACCCTTGACATTAGTGGTCGTTGCACGGCCAATCGCTTTGGCGGGAACCGGAAAAGGCAGTTTCTTACATGCGTTTGCTTCAATGTGTTGCCACAACATCTTATATTTC